ATCAATTTTTTAAAATACAATTATAATGTAATACTACGAAGCACCTAAAATCTTTTGGACATATTTTTTTAAATATATATAGACAACGATACCCAAGACACAATCATTATATCAGAGTCCATTTTCACTTTTCAGAAGGCCTCATATCCCACTATCCTTTGAAGCTATTTCTAAGCACTCAAATCCACAGTGCGTGCTACACACGAGCCCGTACTTAGCATGATACCATGGATCCATCCTTCTGCTAGTCTCACTTAACAGAGTATGAAAACGAAACCAGAAAATGACAGCCTTAGCCTAATCTTTCTCTTGCCTTGCCTTTGACAATTTTCATGGTTTCTTTTCTCCTTTTCCTTTACCCCCACCTGCTCTCTCTCTCTCATATAATTAGCATCCTTTGGTGTAGTTGTCGGTGGAGCAGTAGCACCGCATCCTATGCAAAAATACCAAGCTCACATTTGTCCTTGTATAAGATCACCTGATATTTATGGGCTCAAATTCTTGTGGTCTATACTCTACACTCAACTGTTTTCCAATCCACAGTTTCTACCTTCCACGTCAAGGTTTTGCTGCATTTAAGTCTTGACAGTTTCTACATTATCAAGTCGTCCCCCCACAATCCCTCTCAGCTGCTTTGATAGGAACATTAATGGTGGATGATCCTCTATAGCTGTTAACATCTTCTTGCTAAGCCAGGCTCAGGTGAGCAACAGCTATAATGCTTGCCCGCAGCGTAGGAGATAGCTAGATATGGTAATTGATGCTTGCTGATATTAGTAGATGATTCAAGTAGGCTCATCTGTGTATATTTTTCATCAAATGATTGAGCATTAAGTGAAGATTGTTTATTGCATTATTGAACTAAGACTAGCTAGGAGCTGAAGTCTTTAACTAGAAATCTTCACAAGAATGTTTATTGGTTTCGAATTTACTTTATAAGTATAAACAGAGAGTGAAGTTATGGACAACAAGACATGGCTTTGGAGGAAAAGATCATCTGAAAAGACAATTGTGGCAACGAACAAATTTGGCATTTTCGTGAAAGGAATCGATGAAGAGGTAGCTACAGGGCCTTCTCTTTAAATTTCTATAGCAGCTTTCCCTTCCCCTATGTGAAAACACCATTATAATCCTTCTAACGATTTTTTTTGTTGTCAAAAATTGAAAGAATTTCATTACAAAATAGACTGGAAAACACCTTTATGAGCCTTCTATTGTGTGATCCAGTCCTGTAGCAATCTTGCATACACCTTTATTATTGTTGTTTCTTTCTTTACTGATTCTTCGACGGAAGAGGAAACTCGCATTTCAGTGCGAAAAGGTTACTTGCGGATATTGAACGAACTTGATTGTGAAAATGTGAAATCCGACTCATGCATTCCTTTGTTTCATTTCACTAGACGCAGAATATTCCGGTCGGGAATGGATTAGGACCGGTTAGACGAAATTTAAACGAGAAGTTAACTTCTGTGCTTGTTGATTGTCATGCAAAGGATGATCCCGTGACAGAAAATGAAAAATCAGAACAAAGAGCTACCGCAGGTGATTCATTAATCCATCAGTTGCTTCTATTGTCTGTATTTGTATTACTTTCGATAATCCTTATTCTTTATATGCTTGTCTAGTAGTCTCTTGGTTAATCCAATGAATGAATATTTTTCTCGTAGGCCAGGAAAAGACAGAAGCAGAAGTAGATTGCCTAAAGAAAGAACTGGATGGAGCTCCGAATCAGGGAGTAGCTGCAAATGAAAAATTAAGTCACTCAGATGCCGCATTAAAGAAATGCATGCAGCAACTGAACTCCTTCCGAGAAGAACACGAGCAAAAGATACACGATGCTGTCATGGAAGCAAAAAGTGAATTTGAGAGGGCACAGAAAACTTTGGAAGGGAAGTTGATGGAGACAAGCAAAAGGCTTACAAATTTAGCCATTGAGAACACAAATTTGAGTAATGCCCTTTTACTCAAGGAGAAATTAGTTGAAGAGCTGCATAAACGTGCATCTCAGACCCTTGCAGAATTCAATACACTAATGGCTAGATTAGATTCCTCAGAGAAAGAGAATGCTTTTCTGAAGTATGAGTTTCACATGCTTCAGAAGGAACTTGAGGTTCGAAATGAGGAACTGGAATATAACCGCCGGTCTTCTGATGCATCGCGAAGGCAACACTTGGAGAGTGTAGGTAAAGTCACGAAACTAGAAGCAGAATGTCAGAGACTTCGCACCCTAATGCGGAAAAGGCTGCCTGGTCCTACTGCTTTCTCAAAGATCAAGAGTGAAGTCGAAATGCTGGGAAAGGAGACGATGGAATTAAGAAGAAAACCGAACCTCACCAGAGATTTGGTACTCAGAGACCCCATTATGAAAATTTCTCCAGAAATTCCTGTAAAGAACATTGATTTCCTGATCGAGCAATTACGTGGCAAGGAAGAGGAGAATAAAGTTCTTAGAGAAATGATGACCAGAAAGAATGCTGAACTCCAATCTTCAAGAATCATGTTTTCACGAACTGCTTCAAGGTTATCTCAGGTCGAGGCTCAGGTTATGGAGCTTTCTGGAGACCAGAAATCCGTGGAGCTGACAACGCATTGCCCATCATCACGTGAACTCTTATCTCCAATTGCGGGTTCTGATGCTGGATCATGGGCTAATGCTCTAATCTCAGAACTGGAACATTTCAGAGATGGGAAACTCAAGAATCCGTCAGGACATAAAGCCATTGAAGTTATGGACATGAGTTTAATGGATGATTTTGTTGAGATGGAGAAATTAGCTATGGTTTCAACACAAACACCTTCTGCAGGAGGGAATCGCCCTTCCTCAGCTGGCAAGGAACTAGTTCCCGCAGAACAAGAGAAACAAGAGAGCCACTTGAAAGATGATTCAACTGATAAGTCTTTCGACTGGCTTCAGGTTGTTCTGAATGCAATATTCATACAGCAGCGTATTTCAAAACGAAGTCTAACTGAACTCCTGGAGGACATTAACATTGCTTTAGGTTATATAAATCATCCAAATGTTTGCGAACCTAATACATCAGCATTCTCAAGGCTTCCTGTGGAGTGTGATATTAGCGGTTATATCACTTGGAAGTCTCCAAGTGAATCTTCGATTGTGGATTCACTGAATGAAACTCCCAGGGCCGACACCCCAGTGAAAGAAACAAGCAAACAACACTATCAATCTAATCTGACTGATCTGCAAGAAGAGAATGATAGACTGAAAAATGAGCTGAATGATATGGAAGCCAGGCTGCATTCTGCAAATGATAAGTCGGAGGCTCTGATGATGAAGCTTCGGGAATCAGAACAAAGTGTTGAAAGGTTACAAGCAGAAGTGGAAATTTTGAAGGAATCAAAAGGAATGATTGAGGATCAAATTGAAAATCAGAAGTCAATCAATGAAGATCTTGATACTCAGCTTACAGTTACCAAAGCTAAATTGAATGAGGTCTTCCACAAGTTCTCATCTCTAGAAGTTGAATTTGAGGACAAAAGTAACTGTTGTGAAGAATTAGAAGCAACTTGCCTTGAGCTTCAACTTCAGCTGGAAAGGTAACAAGTTTTTTCTTCTTATATTCTCTGCAAACTACCAAAACAAAAAACCTTTCCTAGATTGAAAGAGAACTCTCATGTATTTGTAACATTAATGATTAAACAGTGCTAAGGAAACCCCGAGCTGTGGCATAAATGAAGAGGGAAAACAACCACAAGATGTAAGTTACTGATCACATCTTATTGTGTTGATTAAAATGCCCTTATCAGATATATATACTCGACAACTTAGCTAGGAAAGTAATTTGATCGCAATAACAAGATAGTCCAAATACTTCACCATATATAATTGTTTTATTTCACGAGTACTGAATCTGATGGTCAAATTTGCAGGGCTGGGAGATCAAGGCTGCGTCTGTTAAGTTAGCAGAGTGCCAAGAAACCATCCTTAATCTTGGAAAGCAACTGAAGGCTCTGGCTTCACCAAGAGAAGCAGCACTCTTCGACAAGGTTTTCACTACTACTGGTGCCACTGCCGCTGCTACCAATATCAAGAACATGAACAGGCGCTTCTCCTTGCGTGATCAAATGATAGCTGAAGATAGATCCAAAGCAATTATTCTCAGATCTCCAACTGAAGATGCACAAAAATCATCTCTTAACCACACAGATAACGATAATGAATTGATCAGTACTAATGCCCTGGTATGTGCTCCTGAAGCATATTTTGGACCAAAGCACAAATCCGGTAATGCTGCAGTTGGGGCTCTGGCTATTATTCCAAGTAAAAAGCAAGGATTTGGTTTGCTGAGGAGCCTACTAATGAGAAGGAAGAAAGGGACTAGCAAGAAGTCACAATCCTTAGTGAAGGTATGACAGAAAGTTGTTTAAGCCCAGTTGGAAGAAACTGCTGTTTCCATGACAGCACCAATTCAAGCTGGACTAGAGAGCCACTGCGCTCATGATCTTGTGGTTGAATAATTTAATGTTTCCTTTTCTTTTCTTGATGATTGGAGATGTTGATAATGTGGGTATCAGATCTTTTTTTCCTTTTAGAGAGGGAGAGAGAGTGTGAGAAATGTATACTGGCTTTAAGTATTGTGTACATATATCTAGGTTTGATGAAATTAAAGAGCTTAAAGTGGCACCTGTAACTGAGAATGGGATGATATGCATATGCTGTCATTGATATGGCTGGTGCACGTGGTTTGTTTACTTGACATTATAGTATCTTCTAAATTTTGGAATGATGGTGGTGATTGATTGAGACTAAAACTCAAGAAATTTCAGATCCTGTGCTGCTAAACTAGTAAATTTGACATGAACTGTCGACACACGAACCTTGAGGATTCATGGTTAATGATCTCGTTTGATGAAAACGCAACAAATCCAGCTAGCTGATCACCTCCAAAGTAATAATCGGATCATCTCTTTTATCCACACCCAGCCAGTCCGCCAAATTTTTCACAGCCAAAGAGAAGATATTCTTTTATTTGACAGAGAAATGCAGGCTCAACATGCTCGTTGACAAAATGTATAATTAAAGAGAAAAGGATGTATCAAGTGTTACATCTTCTTGTGTTATACCTTACAATAACTCTATGCAGATGCCTCAAAACCCATGCAATACAGGACTATTTTCACACTGCTCTTCCAGTAAGAGAACAGCTGAAACAAATAGAAATCAAAGAATAGATTAGATAGCAGATTCTACGACTATGAAACGCATGATTCTCACCAAACTGGCTATTAATCTTTGTACAAAATGAATCTTGCAATTTCATCAAATCCAGCCTCCCTATAACATTCTGCAATACGCTCCAAAACATTATCCCAGGTTCCTTTAATAGAAGCTAAATCCAACAAGAAAGCAGCCTCATCCAATGCTATCTGCATGCCAAATCAATATGAGCGTCAAAATCAGCCCACGTGAATTAGATAGATGAGAGTAATGGAATTTCAGTCTTTTGCTTATCAGAAAGATTTATTCTGCTAGAGTGGTACCTGAGCAGCCGCCTTTCCCTTCTTCAAATCCTCCTGCCTGCCCTCTTCACTCACCTTCTCCTTAATGTATTCAATTTGCTCATCCTCCCACTGTGCAATGCCAGCCACTTCCTGATCAGGAATAACCAAAATCAAGATTAGGGGAAAATCAGAAGAAGGAAAATAATAGATCTAAAAGACGATGAATTCTAATTGAAGAAGGGGAAAATCAGAAGAAGGAAAATAATAGATCTAAAGGACGATGAATTCTAATTGAAGAAGGGGAAAATCAGAAGAAGGAAAATAATAGATCTAAAAGACGATGAGTTCTCATTGAAGAAGGGTCAATACCTGATATGCACAACCTAAAGTCCACCATGGTGATTTTAAAGCAACCCTGGCAGCATCTTTAGCTTCTGATGTACGTCCAACTCTAAAAAGAAAGTAATTGAAAAGGTTTGGTTGAGAAAAAAAAAAGTGTAAGACTTGAAATACATGGAAGTGCTCTGAAAAGATTTCTACGAACTTCTTCAAAATCTCTGCATAGAATACAAAGGGCCTTCCAAATCCTGGAAATAGATCTTTTTTTGTATAGAATTCCCCTGTCACCATTGCCGAAACCTTCCACCCACAGCATGGAAGAATTTGTCAAGTGCAAAAGCTCTAAACATGGTAACAATTAATGGCCAAAATCATAAATAACTTACATGATCCCCTTGGTCAAAATGGCGAGCTACTTTACGCTCTAAGACATCTGGGAACAGCCCAACCTGAAAAATAATAAAAAGTTGCAACATGTAGATTCATTTACAAACTCACTTATACAACTTTACCTCTTTAAGAAGATAGCCATCGAGGTTTGCAGTCTGAGATTCAGCAAAATCACCCCTCCGGTAAAGTTTCTCGCCCACATCTGAAGCAGCATGAAAGAGTTCACCATCACTTTCGTTGAAATTGTTGGCATCTTCTTCAACCAGAATTCTGTGCATATATTGATCTACCTGCATTGCAAGAGCTATAGAATATAAGCTGCCCTTGTCCAACTAATCGACACATTTTCTGAGACCCTGCCCAACGCACACAGAAAAGTGCAACTTTCGAATGGTATTGAATTTGATATAATGAATAATCAACATAATTATGCACACAAATGTATAATGCTATTATATTCTCCATCTAACTATGCACATTGATGCATGCTTACAGTTTAATGCATTACATTCTTGGCTAAAAGCCACACCCCATGCTTGCGAACATCCACAACCGGCATCTCCATTCTGTGTTAACAGTATCAATTTGTGTAGATTAATAAAACAATAAACAAGTTTGCCAATTGCCATTAACAACAATGAAACACGCTAGAAAATTAACACAACACTCGACTAGAAAATGCACGTATCTTACCCAGGTGGGGCTGTTGGCCAGCGCAGCAGTGCAGTTACGGAACCTATTGGCAAACACATGTATGATATGAAACTGAGTTTCCACTTGAACTGCCCGAGACTCATGAGTGCATGTATCAAAACACATTGTACAAACAAATTCACGTCTAACCTGACAGATTCTCCGATAGAGGAATAACAAGTGGAATCAACCCTTGTCTAGATCCTGGAGAAATGATGGTTTCACCTGTAAACAAACAAATAACAAAACGTGGCAGCCCGTGAATTAAGAGACCAAAAGGAAAAAAAGAAAAGGAAAGCACATTTGACATTTTCAGGGTTTTTTCAAATACCAAATATTATTATATGAATGATCAATACCTCTAGTTTGAAGCATTTTGAGCAAGTAATGGAGATGCTGAGGAGGTTGAGTAGCAGCTACTTCCTCTATGAATGATATGTGGCCTGCATTTTCACTTGCAAAACTCTCTAAATGCCATAAACTACCAATTAACAATTGAAGTCAATAGAATCTCTAACCCATCTTCACCAAATTTTGCTGAAAATAGAAATAGCTTGCAAGTAAATGATATTTAATTATGTATCATCTACATTGACCAACAAGAATTGACAGTCAAAACTATTGAAAGGGTCGTCGTGGAATTACCAGAGGAGGAAAAACATCTAACCCTGGCTCTGACTTGGCGAAGAGGGAGAGTGGTAGTAGAAGGGACTCTGTGCGCCACACCCAGCACTCCTATCTTCATAGCTTCTCTCTTCAGTCTCCACTCCGTTGCCACCTGTGTATTTCAGGATAAGAGTTCGACAGGTAAATATACAACGGCTACAGAAAAAGAAAGGAACAGAGATTTTGCTGGTGGTGGTTGGATTTATTCCTGGAATGGGCCAGGCCTAGTGCCCCATTTGGATATGGGCGTTTTCAGTTCTACTTTTCATGGCTGAGCCCTTTGTACTAACTTGCAGTTGCAGGCCTGTTGTAAACATTTTGCTTGTTCGTCCCAAGGATTTATGGAATTTGAATTTGCTTGTATTGGCTTTGTCTCCAACAATAAGATCTTGGGTTTAGAGTTTAAACTACAGGCGTTGAGGCTAGATATTAAACTGTACCAAATAAATAATAGAAAAGGTTATAACATATTTATAAATACTGCAGAAAAATTTCAACTGTTGCAAAATCTGGATGAGTATCATCCTCCCACTCTGACGTTGGCCCTCCTCCACTCGATTTAAAAAAATCAGCAACAATTCATATTTTTATTGTGGTAAGGAATAATTAATAAAAATTTAAAAATGTACCTAAATCACTCATTAAAATATAATTAAAATACAAATAAAAAAAATAACACGCATGAAGATTAATTTAAGTGCGTAAAAATGAATCGTGAACGAAAATGAAGAAAAACAAGGCAGCACGAACATTTGTGGATATCAAGAGAGGATGAAGCATAAATCACTTTGGGTTTTTAAGAGTGACTATCTATGTTTTGGATGAATTAAGTTAAAAAAAAAAGTTAATATGAGAGATTATTCATTAATTAGAGAACGGATGTATGCTTTTTTATGTTAAATCAAGTCTCTGTTTTTATTTTTTTCAATTCTAAATATCAGATTATTTTCTCTGCACGATCAAATTGGCATGGTGAGATCTATATATGTGCTCCCTAATTAATCAGACGACGAGCAAGGCAAGAGAGCCTGGGGCTGCAGCCGCTTCCTTCATTTCAGGCAAGGCAAGAAATCCTGGGGCTGGAATGATGTCTTTGGTCGCCATGATTTGCATGTCAGCTCTTCCTGCATAGCTCACCATGTGCATTGAGTGCCTGCGTTCCCCCACAACACAAAATATATATATATATATATATATATATATATATATATATATATAAACCATCTTAATTCAATAATTTAAATTTTTAAATGAATTTTCAAGATATAATTTATATTATTTTTTAACACATCTCTTCAAATAAAATCATGTCAAAAAATTATCTTGACTCAATAATTTAAATTTTTAAATAAAATTATAAAATATAATTTATGTTATTTTTTAAAAAATAAGCAAACTAATCAATGATCCCCCGTGAAAAAGGGTTTAAACATGGATAAACTTTTAGGGTTTAGCGTTTGTACATGGGCCATGCTAGATGTAACGTTACAGGATTGCCTGCCAAGGTGATCTCCTCTTGAGGTCCTGCCACATTCGAGACAGTAAACGTAGCGCTACAAAGTACCCTGTAATTAAGGTAATTAAGGACATAAGCAGCCTGAAATGCAAACAGAAACGAATTGTATATAAGCTTACACCAAAACTATGAACTAATTAAAAAAAATTCGATGTCTTTTCACCTTTGATCCTAACAAAGACATTACTAGATCTCCAATTTGAAATGCGAAGGGAGCCTCTGATGTTTTTTTTCTTCTCATCAGTCATCACCTTAGCTTTTTCCACATACTAATGTTATTTTCTTTTCCTAAAAACGAAACACAATCCCTCTACTTCTTCCATGTCAGCCACTCAGAACGCCCAGAGATCTCAAATTTTATGGGCTGAGAGTAATATTTGTTAAAGATGCACTTCTTCCCATGTTTTTTTTTCTTTTTTTTAGAGTTAGTTTGGAATTTTGAGTATAAATGTTTTTTTAAATATTTTTTATTTTAAAATGTACTAAAATAATTTTTTTTATTTTTTAAAATTATTTTTATATTAGCATATTAAAATTATCTAAAAACACCAAAAATTATTAATTTAAAAAAAAACGTTTTTTAAAATACAAAAATAAACAAAATCTTACCCGGTAAGTCCAAATGATATTGCAGATAAAAATAACACCTTCTTATGACATGCATCGTTATGTGAGTCTCGTAAAAATATTTCATGATATTTATTTTAGATTAATATGAATGAACCGGGTCAGCTAGCGTGTAACTAATTAAACTATACCGGTGCCCCCAAAGATTGAATACGTCATCATGTTAGTTGAAATGCAAGCACTCCATGATGTTGCTCTAGACTTTTTCGACCATTCAACAAGTTAGTTGAAATGTCACAAGTCATATTGTTGTCTGAATTGGAAGATGCGTAAGGCTCTGATTGGTTGGTAAATTAACTTTCTTAACATGCCTTAGACAGTCTTTAATCGCTGACTAGATGAAGGACCCCTCCGTCCATCGCCATTAATATGAATTTGATCCTAATACAATTTTATTTTTTTTTATCAATTATTCCCATATCTAATCCGACAATTGTTCTGGTTGGAAGACGAATCAAATAGACAAAAGGAAACATGCCGTTAATGATTAATCCACGAGTAAATTACTATATAAATATTTTCCTAATTGTAGAATAATAACAAAATCTGTATTTTTTTTCTGAAAAAAAACAAAATCGCTTGTACTTACCGCTTTAGGAACAGCTCTCTTCACAATCTTCATGTCCTCGATCAAAAACGCGGCGGTGCCCAGTTTCCTCGGCCACAGCTCCACCCCATCACCACCAGAAATCGCAGTCTTCTTGTCACTAACCCACAAAACTCTCAATATATATACTAAAAAAAAGCCAAACTAAACCAAAACATTTTTAGATTTCCCAAAAGGAACCCCCTCCCATCCTGCCGTTTCCCTTCCTTCCCAGGATCCCTCCTCCCAGTTACCAAAGTAGGCATGGCCTCGGGCTCACTTGCTTTCCTGCAGATCGCCAAGAACAATGCCATCCAAGAAATCCCATCTCCCAACGCGTGATGAACCCTTAAAATAGCACACTTTTGCTCCCACAAGACATAGATTTCCCATGAAAGCTTGTTTATGTTCAGTGGAATGCTAACTGATAAATCAGCTAGGCATTCACTATTTTGTCAGCATCATCGTCATCACGTGAACAGAAAAAAACACCTTTCGTTGCTTACAGTAATGATGTGTTGATCGACATCGATATCATTAAGGAATTCTTGATTGCTAATTAATTGATGGTGTCTGTGCCCATCTCTTTTTTTAAACCAACTGGACAGTGGATTATGGAGTTCGTCTCTGGCCGGAGGAAGAGCCTGCTTGAAGGAGTTACAGGCTCGTCGGAGTTACTTTCCGATGGAGCCATTGGAGACGTGTGTCTTTGGGTGTGTGTGGGGTGGGGGGGGGACAAGGAGAGGCGCACATATTTTAAACGTTTTTTATAACCTTTTTCTTTACATTTTTTCATTGTTTTTAAAATAAAAAAATCATGAACAATACAGTTTTTTTTTTTTGTTATGCATATATTTTTTTAGCAATATATATATCTCTGTGTGTGTGTCATGAATTTAATTTTTATTATAAATATAACATAGATAATTTTCTTAGTTAACAACATAACTTTTTCTTTTTAATTTGAATGAATTGATTTCATATTTTATAATTAGATTAAAAAATATAAAATATTGAGATGAATATTATATATTTTTTATAAGAAAATAATTGTATTTTTAATTTGTTTTTTTCGATCATTCTCATCAAATAGTACGTTTTTCAATTTTTCATTGAAAATTTAGAGCTAGAAAATGGAAATTCTTTTCTATTTTTGAACAACCTTTGAAAAAATAGTTTTTTATTTTTTAAAATTGAAAATATTACATTTAAATATAAAATTTTAATTTTTCTTTTTTAACTTCACGTTTCTTTTAATTTAAACATTACTTTATTTATAACCACTCTTAAAAAAAAAAATTGTTTAAAAGGGAAGAAACGAAACCAAAATAATTTGCATGGTTGAGCAGTGTTTATTTTCGTGGTGTTATGGTATTTTTGAAAAATAAAAATTAATTAACTTTTATATATTTTTAATATTTTTTTTGTTAATATCAAAAGTAAATTTAAAAAAATAAAAAAATATTTTTTTATTTTTATAATTTCGTTGACTGATTGACAAGCTACACTCGAAGATGGTGTTCTTGATTTATATATATATATATATTTTTCAGGTCTCAACTGGATTGAGCAGCAAATAGGGAACTTACGGGGATTTGAAATCACGGACGTTGGAGTAGTGATATCCATAGGCCCACAAGCACGTACAAGTAGACCAATCACTGAACTGTGTTTTTCATTCCAGAACGCAAACTACTATGCACCGTCGGCAACGTCGTTATCGGAGTTGCAATGTTGACATCACAACAACGTCAACTGCAATCCGTAGAAGTAAAGCAATGTCTGAAAATCACTTGGCCAATTTGTAGTTTTTAATAAATAAAATGCTAACTGTCTTAAAACAAGGGCAAAAGCATCCCTCGAGGACCATAACAAGTCTCAGATTGAATTACCCATGCTGCAAATGGTCTTGCACTGCTCATCAACCCATAATAATAATAATAATAATAATAATAATAATAATAAAATTACATGCTAGGCTACCCGTAACAGATCGGAGGAAGGAAAGAAGGACAAAGGACATATTTTGCCTCCAGCTATCATGTGATTCTCAATTAGGTTGCCAACCAAAGTAAATTCCCATTTGGATCCCTCGTACAGCAAGAATTACTCAAACAACCCCATCCATAGAATTTATGAAAAAAAGATGTTGTTTTAAGAGAAATATATCCTTGTTTTTTGCGTTGATATTGAGAAAAAAATTGACCCTAAGGTTAAGTATTTATAAATTTTATTAATAAAATATAAAATAAAAAAACTGAATCTCACCTAGAATTTAAATTGACCTAACAAGTTGCTTACCTATTTGAAACCTGGCTAAGGCTTCAAGTCGTCCAAATCCTGAGCTAACCCGCTCAGCTAGGCCTGGTATCATAACAATAGCTGGGAGGGATTACTTTGTATATTTGTTATGTAAATCGAGCATTCTGGTCCGTTGATGGTGAGAGAAAGCGGCTTAGGAGTAGTCTTCTATGCTGCTGGAGGTTGCAGATGTATTCTATTACGCAATCCAAAGTAATTTCTATTTATGCTCTTGTATGGATTGATTTTTGTCTTAGAAATTGTATTGAACTGGTTATGAACCAGTTCAATATGGCTCTATTCGCAAACATATATTAATCAATCGGTCATGGCACATGAATATCTAGCCATCAATCTTTATTTATTGGGAAAAAGTGAGACTAAAAACCAATCCGAAAACCATGAAATGGAAATCAAATCACTCCTAAATTTGAATGCCAGGCAAACAATTCGGGAACAAAAATTTCCTCGAGCAAATATTCAATCATATATTTTTGTGTAGGTTTTTTTTATTTATATAAATGTTTAAAGTAACTTGTATGTGTTTGATTAATCTTACATTTTCTAAAATTAATAACTATATAAACTTTTAATAATTCTAAAAAAATTCAAACTCATAATCATTAAAAATAAATAAATTTAAAACCTAATAAATTTAACTATTTTTTAGTTTTTTTAGGTGTTTTGATTGGAAAAGAAATGTCAAATGCTATCAATATTTTTTTATCGTTTTAATATAATAATATTAAAAATAAAAAAAAATAATATATTTTTTAAAAAATAATTTAAAAAATAATCATTATCAAATTATTAAAAAAAAAGTAAAAAAAAAATTTCATTGTTGTGTGAAAAGTTGGACTTCTTTGCAAGATATTGATGCTCTAATTTTCGGATTTTCCTCGCCACAACCTCAATGTTTGTCTCTAAAGTGACTAGCTAGCAGGTACATCGCACATGCTTCTTGTTTTCTCACCGCCTAAACAAAACACTCTTAAAATATCAATAAAATTTATTTAAAAATATTATTAAAGTTGTTTTTTAAAATATTTTTTATATAAAAGTAATTTTTTATTTTTTAAAATTAGTGTACCAAAACAATTTAAAATATTTAAAAAATTATTTTTTTTAGAAACAAGGGTACAACTTTTTTAGAAACAAGGGTACAACTCTATCCCTCTTAGTTGTAAACTGGTTAAACTATGATGGCCTGAAATAGATGAGAAATCCATATATCTTAGTAATGCATAACAAGTATTTAGCCACGGAACAATATTAACTAAGTGCATAAAAAATCCACTTAATTTAAGAGGAATTTCTCAATCATTCCCCATTCCGTTCAAGCACACAAATTATAAGCCATTGAAATACAAAGGGGGTAAAAACAATTATTACAGCTCATTGGATCCGACGGCAGAGAGTGATGCCATCACCAACGGGAAGCATGCAAATTTCAATCCTGGGGTCAGCAGCAAGTGCCTTGTTGAGCTCCAAAACAAAGTCCCTGTAGTACCTCACATACTTCCTCATCGGAGCATCAGGTGGTGCCACCACAGATCCATTCCATAAAGTGTTGTCGTACCCAATCAGTCCACCAACTTTGACAAGCTCAATCAACCTCTTGTGATAATTTATATAATTGTCCTTGTCAGCATCCACAAAGATGAAATCAAAACTTCCATGGCACTTCCCCTGCATTGGTCCACACAGAATAGTAAGATTAGTAATAGTCAAATATAACTTATATATCCAGTTAAAAAACGAGCATTGTTTCTTTTTCTCATACAAGTAGACAAAAAAGGATGTTTGTCCTTCTTCCATTTTCTTTTTTTGTCGAACACAGGAGTATTTCTTACATCTTCAATCATTTGATCAAGAACTGGCAGAGCAGGGCCCTCCTTGAAATCAATCTTGTGCGCAACACCAGCTTTCTGAATTACTGGGAGACCCAATTCATAGTTTTCTCTGTTGATGTCCATAGCCAAGATCTGCAAGTAACAAAATCCCATTTATTTTTATCATCACATGAATTTATTTATTATTTTTACTAAATAAAATTTGATTTGGGACCGAGACATTTTAAGTTTTTAGTTTACCTTGCCATCCTCAGGAATAGCCAGGGCAGTGGCCAAGAGAGAATAGCCAGTGTAAACACCGATCTCCATGGTGTTCTTGGCATTGACAAGTTTCAAAAGCATATTCAAGAATTGCCCTTCATCAGCAGATGTGGTCATGATGTTCCTGTTTCCCATCATTCACGTCACATTTATTAACACCACACCATAAGCATTAATATCAGACAAAATCTCTAATGTTTATGTATTTAAATGTATGTTAAAATCAAGAAACATACCAAGGATGCTTGGCAGTCACTTCCCTGAGCTCCTTCATGCATTCAGGCTCTTTTGGATACACACTAGTCTCGAGAATATACTAAAAAATAATCCAAACATAAAAAGAAAATGTTAAAAAGCAAACAACAAGAAGAAAAAGGGAAAAACTTGCACAAGAACAAGGATTTCCTGTTTAAATTACCTGGTAAAGAGCATCACTTTGCAAAAGGCTCTTGTGGCCAACTTCCTGGTGCCTTCCTGCTTGGTTTTGCTGTTCCTCTCCGTTGGTGGCCATTGTTGTGTATATCTTCTAATTAAACTACGATCTCTTTCCTGGCCTTGGAATTTTTTTCTTTTTTTGTTGATGAACCTGGTTGAAAATGGTGAAGGGCTGGTGATATTTATCAGAAATGAGAGCCCGGTTTGATTTGGAGTAGCGGGGAGGCTGGACCGGCTACCAACCGGGTGGGGTTGGTGAGGTTCCTGGCGTTAGGGATAATGTGGGTTTTTGGCCCACCAAATACGGGACCCACCTTGTTGGTAATCGTGCTATGGGCTAGTGGTACACCTTCCCTGAGGCATCGCTAACGTCATTTTGGGATCGATGGCACCAAATCTCGGTGCAAATTCTTAAATATTTTATTGGGCATATTTTTTTTTTGTCCTCCTTTTTTCTAAGATTCTAGAACAATAAATAAGTTTATGGTTAGGTAGAGGTTCTCGAGATCAAAAGCAAAAATGGTATGCCGTGTATAATTAATTTGTTAAGAGTGGAGAGAATTAAATAATTAATTATAAATTAATATATGTGTTTAACTGGAAAAGGTTTGTGCTGGGCTCACCAATTTGTTGTTGGAAATGGTTAGCGCGTGCTAAAAGAAATTGGGTAAGGGATAGGTGAAATTACCAGAGAGAATTTGACAGCCTCCACGTCCGAGAGGTGGTAGCTTATGGCCACCTCCGTCTGCAGATGGGTCCTTTACAGAATCTCTCAAACTATTGTTGACTTTGTCACCTAAAAATTTATCTTTGTTGTTTTTTCTCCACAAACTTGCCTTTGTCGGCAAAAATCCAAATTTGTTTTACGGTCTTGATTACGGCAGATGTAAAGCGTATACTTGGTATGCATATATGTGCCGGTTGAAGTTTAAAATCACCGCCTAGGCTGAGTCTCTTAGGCCGAGTCTCTTGTCTCATTTTGAAAGGATCATTTATATGTTATAAATTTTAAAATTAATAATTATATAAATTTTTAATAATTTTAAATTTTATAAAATTCAAATTAATAATTTTTATCAAAAAATTTTAAAATCTAATTAATTAAACCGTTTCTACTCTTGTAAGGCCTTTTTACTTCTCTGTAAAACTATATGTATAAAAAATTGTTGTTAAGAAAATAATTAAAATAAATATTCATGATTATTTTCTAATTAATAAAAAAATATCAAGAATTTGAAAAAACTAAAACAGTTAAAAAATTATTTTTAATAATTATTCTTTTCTATATTGATTTTCAACATGATTTTACCTTTTCTCTCGTCACATTTTCTTTTAATAAACTTGTTATTACTTTGTGCGAGGAGATGTTAGAATCACAATAAAAAAACCTAGTTAAATAACAAAATAACACCAAAGCATCCTGAAATTACCTAAAAAAATTAATTAAATAAAAAATCTTTAAACCGAGCTTATTTTTCATGTGGGATGAAAGTCCAAAAACAACACCCCTGAAAAACCCCCGTGGTCAAATAAAACCCTTCACGTGGTTAGTTTAAAAATATCAAATAAAAAAATATCCAATACAAGGTAGACAAAATATCTAAAAAATCTAACAATTTAGATGAATACCTTGCATTATTGGTTACCCCATTGATTAAACTTCACGTGGCCTTTAATCATCATTTTTTTCTAATCCCTCCTTTTTTTTTTTTTATTCTTTCCCCGGAAGTATCACCACAACTGACTCTGAAAGGGCTCACGTTCATCCTATCTCTTCATCAACTGGCATCATTTTCTCTCTCTCGTTTTTTTTTAGCATCATCAACGAGCACGACTTGTAGTTGAGTTTCTATGTGCTTCTTGTTCTTGCCCGCTTATGACGCCGTTTATTAATTAAATTCAAATTAATCAGATCAATTATCAATAAGTAAATTTGCTGTGATAGTCGCACCACGCCTCGAGACGGGGACGAATACCCTGTGTGGTGCTGGAGTGCAGCCTTTCCACGATTCCATCCCTTCCCGGACCATCTTTCTAAATTATTTTATTATTGCTACTATTTTCATATCATACATATAATAATTAATCTTTTATTATTAAAATTCAAATAAAAATTTATAATAATATTGCAAAATAATACCAAAACTAAAAAGTAAATAAATCTAATAATTTTTTAAAATGCTAAAAAAAAGACCCAGTCCAGATATGCGTGATCTTAGAAGCTAAGAACGCCCGCACGGCCTTGCTTTTATTTTTTTGTTTCATGTTATCTAGCCATCTGTGGTTTAAAGGAAAATATTACCTCCACTGGCTTCTACAGCCTTTGGTTTTTAAATAACTATTGTTTTTTAAAATGTATATTTTTAAATGTACGGGATAATAATTTTTATTTTTTTATTTTTTTTATTTTTACATTAGAAAAATATAAAAATATCAAAAAATTATAATGTGACCTTATAACTTTAATATATTTTAATTAAAATTTAAATTGACTTCAAAAATATTTTTTTTTAAATTAAATCTTTAATAAAATTTAATTGAGTTTATAAATATTTGATTTTAAACCCTTTTTTATATTGAATTTTTTTGTCAATAGAATTCTTTATTAGTCAATGAAATACTATTAAATTTTAATTTTTATATTTTTAAACTTCATCAATAAATTTTTAATCATTTTGTGGTACTTTTACATCCTCTTTTTACTTTTATACTTTTTTTTTAAAAAAAATTATATGTTTTTTTGAAGAAAAAAGAAAAACAAAATGAATTAAGGAATGGTTCAAAAATAAATATGAGCAAAGCACCAAAAAAAATCTAAATTTGAGGTAATTTACATCCATCCATAGCAACCACCAACTCAGCGTGGGACCTGCTAATATATTGGCACAACCACATGCTAGAAAACGGGTGGGAGATTCCTTGTCTTTTATTTATGCCAATGCTTGAGCCGCGGTTGAGTGGTGGGAAAGATGAACACCAAATCACCAAACCTAGGAGCGTTGATGAGAAACCGTACATGTACTATATGAAGAAAAAGCATTAGATACTTGCAGCAAGTACGAAATCCTATTGCTTGATCTAATCGTGTCCTAGAAAAAATAAAACAATGGAAGAGGAAGTATCATTTTATCCACAATGCAGTGCAACTGCCTCCTCAATCTTCATGGATCTGATAAATCAAACCTTATGATAGGTGGCTAGGTACCTGTGAAACGCAGACAGCAAAGACCTCCTCTTTGAGAGAGAAATTATCAGGAATTTATACCATTTTGACAATGCTTTCATCACTTTGTTTAAGTTATCCAGGGCCATTTGGAGCAAAATGATGGTAAAAGGTAACCTGAAGAGAAATACACATTAATTAGAATCAAGATATTGATAATTGGAAGATGATATCAGGGGAATGAGAGAAGCTAACTTTGATTCTACCATCTACAATATTTTGACTGTAGGTACGAGACAGAAAAGCTACCGAGGTCTATCGACAGTATTTTTTTTTTTTTCTTCTTTTCTGATGCTTGGAGGCTTTGAGCCTTGCAGAAACTTGTGTGTAGCCCTAGGAACAAGGCTGCAGTTGAGGTACACTTCAAAGAGAAGACTAATGGCGAGGGATAACCGGAAGCAAGAAAAGAGGGAAGGTGGAATTCTCAGGGATTGCAGGTTTAATCATATGCGTGCTTACGCCAGGGGCCAGCGCTGAAGCACTATTCTCTGATAGTTTGTATCCTCTGGGTCTGGTGGGTGCAAGGACCACTATTTGACCTTCAGAGTTGCTTCTAGATGTAGTGAGATTGCTAGCATAGAGATGCTAACGGCTGTAATTACTTCGGAATTGCTTGAATAAAAGGTAAACTGAAAGCTGAATTACTATCGGTCTGTCCTAAACAAATGTGGCCTGCAAGTTTTGAGATCAGTAATCGTTCCTGTTCCTCTCTCTCCCTCTCATATGACTTCTTACATGACATAAATTTCCACACCCAATCAAGAATTCTACGTTCAACAAATTCAAATCACCTGACAGATAAAACTTTGATATAAATTCCTTTACAAACACAAAGCCCTGAAAGTGAACGCATGGAGATGAACAAGAAGAGTTGAATTCAATAGCCTCCGCCCTTCAGCATCAAGAATCCTAAAGCCATCCCTGTCGCCACGAAAACCTGCAACAACACTCGAAATTCTTGAACATGAATCGACTACAATTTGAACAAGCTGATTTGGAATCATTTCTTTTAACAAGCTCAGTAGGAGAAGGGAACCCGACCCAAAAGCGAAAATTGGTGCTCGAAACACAACACAATTGCTTGGCACAAAACCGAGTCACTGACTCAGTAACCCCAAATCTGTCAGCGATTTCAATGTAACCTGACCCAGTGGCCGGTCTAAACAAACCGATGCCTAGCCAAAGCTCGGATGGGACATTTTTGTGCTATCGAGCCAAAGCCCGGTCCATGCACTAACAAAAGGTCACAAAAAAAAAATAAAACAAGTTCAATTGTGACACTAGTCCATAAAATTATTGTAAAACATATTTAAAAAAACAATTATTATTATATTACCAAACAAGTTTTCTATAGAATTGATTACTCTCCTGCGCAGGCGTGTGGAATGAGAAAAGAAACAGGAATTTGATATACCTAAAAAAACACTCTAACTAGTGTCTAGAAACGAATATCCTTTCTTCGAATGATTACCACAAACAGTAAGAGAATTGCTCCTGCCTTTATCTCCACCCTCCGTTAAGTTTCTCTTCCACTGCACAACCAAACAGCGTTGGTGTTAGCTGAGGTTAGTCCAACTTGTCCATCATTACCCATCAAGTCTCCCGTGGGTAAAAGCCCTCTGACAGGAATCCAAAGCGGACTCCATCCCATGTATTTACATCCTCGGCTTCACTAGAATAAAACCATCACATTCTGGGCCAGCAATGTCGATCAAAAACATTCTATAAACAAAACCAGCCCAAGATCCTGAGATTGGGCCTGGACATAACCTGACGGTTTTGCAGTCTCCAGTTAACATCATCGCTCGCCACAAAACATAATAGATAAACAGATCACATCTAATAAGGTTAGATGTAAGAACTCGGGCAAATTGTACCAAACAAATGCAAAGAAAAACACAAACTCGAATCCAATGTATCCCCATTTTCAGAGTGGTGTGTCAACTTGTCATTGCCCATTCCCAAATTTCAACATCTCATTTTCCTGCCCACATAAAAAAATAAAAAATAAATAAATGAACAAGATGGAGAGAGGAAGGTCCCGTGGGGATGCATGAAAGCTACGTGTACAACAATAAATTTGCCCTCTAAGCACTTAAGAGAACCACCCCATCACCACACATACCATCACCAAATTAAATATTAAATAAAAAAAAAATTAAGTGCGCAGATTACAGACATTTCACCCATTTTAATCTTTCATTGCCCAATAGTTGGTTTGTTTTGTCTTTTATTTTTTTTCCTTTTTTTCCATCCCTTCCAATTATCTATTTCTTAATGTAACCGAAGCCATACGAACATAATTTAAAAAAAAAAAACAAAAAAAGGAGATTTTTTACGTTTCTAATCCTTTCCGCTTTTTTTTTATTTATTTATTTATAAAACCCGTTTGATCTTTTTAAAATTTCATTTTGGATCTTCTCTCATTTCAATCTCTTTTCCTCTCAGGTAATTCTCTTGATCTATGTAATTATTGTAATTTCTTTCGATAATCTTAATTTTCTAGTTGATCTCTATTCATGGCTGCAATAATCAACATTCTTAATCTTGTTTTCCGGAATTTTTTTTATTATGCGACTGTGTTTGATTTTAGGTGTTTGTGACAGAAGAAGAAGAAAGATCAGGCTGACCCATGTTGGATTTATTTTTTTTGTGATTGTGCATGCATTTGATCATTGTTTTTTTATGGGTCTTTTGTTAGCACCTTTTTATCTTTTTTTTTAAAAAAAAAACTAGGTGGAGTAGCTGCTTTTCGCCATTTTCAAAATTTTATTTTGTTTCTTTATTTTCGAAATTTGGGTTTTCTTTTGATCTTGTGAGAGTATTGAGTGTGATAAATTTTTTTTACGCCAAGATAGAAAATATTGATTCTGCATACATTTCGATTTGTACACTTTTATGGGTTTGGGTTCAAGCTGTTGGCTTCTAATCTCGGTATTGAAATCTGTGAGCTGAAGCTAAAATCTTCTCCTTTTGGTGCTTTTCGAATGTTGTTAATCTAATATTGGCAAGCACATTACGTTTGATGCAACTTTTCATTAATTACACGTTGTTACTCTATTATAGAGCTTGCACATTCGCATCATAGTTAAGAAAATTGTGGAGAAATAAGAATGCTGCACCGATACCTGTGTAGCTGAGCTGTTGCCATGGCGTTGTCTTAACTTTTCATTAAATATGATCCAAAAGGGTGAAATGATGTCGCGGATAAGCGAGACCTTATGCAATGCTGCCTAGCAAGGAGCTATCGGGATATGGAATATATTTCAGTTTAGGAATGGAATGGAGAAATACAAGGAAAGAGGAACCTGTATATACAATGTGCCCACAATTGTAGTTAAGCATCAGAGTATATAATGGCTGATCTCTGGTGTTTGTGCTAAAAGAGCTAGAAATAGATTGGTATGAATTTAGTTAGTAATGTGGCTAGATTAACGATAATGATGATAGTCTTTAGACAAAAAGATTTAGCATGTATAACTGGTGAGACTGGTTGGGATGTGTGGCAACATTTAGCATGTATAACTGGTGAGACTGGTTGGGATGTGTGGCAACAAGAGATGGGCTACGGGTGCTGCCGCTATGGGGAGTTGAATTAGATTTACTACCTGGAGTCTGGCATTTGAATGCCAGAGGCAATCTGTTTAGTCTGAATCTTGTCTATGTAGGTCCACTCATCTTTCCTCAAGAAATATCTGAGAGAAAAAAAAATCGTGATAATAAAATTCCTGAAAGGCAGATGAGTATCTCATTTTCCTGAACAAGGTAGGAAGAACTGATTGTTGTTTTTAGGATGTGAGAGAGATCCAAGTGGAAAGTTTGATATAATATCTTTTGATTACGTGTTATGGTTTATAATTTTTACAAAATTCCAATTGATTGTTATGTTGTATGATGCGGTGTTTGTGAGACAAGTGGAAAGATTTGAAATACTATCTTTTTTTTGTCTGATTGTTCTGTCAATTTGTTGTTGAAACACACATGGTTCTTTTGCTTTTTTGTGGTGTGTAAATTTCTATAAATGCTTACAGATGCCCTAAAGCTTCAGATTTTGCGGCCAGGATGCTAATTGGGGACAAATGCGGGATTTTATTTAAGCACATGCTTAAATGCATCTGGTCTTCTTGGCGGCATTGAAACAAGCTGGCAAAGCAGAGTTTTACCACTACATTTGTAAGCAAAGACTGCCTTTTTTAATCTCTTGCTCCTCTTCTCTTTGCGGTCCATTCATTTTTTCTTTACTCTTTTGGAAATAATATGTAAAAATTTACATCATGTTGTCACAGGCGCTGGAATTTTAATTTACGAGATACTAAAGTGTGATTTTTATCCTTTTCTGCTGTTATGTACACATAGATATTGCTGATTAGGGCATAACGTGAAGCACCGTTCCTCCCAAAAACTTGGAGTATTTTTCAGCATCTTATACATTATATTAGGGGGAACACATTGTGCCTGATGCATAGGCAAAGGGGTGCATTTCATACCTTTTCTGAAACTATTGACATTGATCAGGGATCTGTTTCAGACAATATCGGTACAAGTCAGCAAACTTCTTTTGGTAACATGCTAAATCCAGTAGATAGCAGATTGTCAAATAATGCTGTATCTTCTGGCGATGTATCATGTTCAAATGCTATGACTCATGATATCCAGAACTTCAGTAGCTGGAATTCAGGTGAATCTAGCTCAAGTTTAAGTCTGCAAAATCAGCTGAATGATGATGAGATAAAAATGGAAGAAAGATGGTCTTCTTCAGTCAATGCTTACCCTGAAGTTGGTCAAAGATCAGATGAAAGGCTATTGGAAACAACTGATATCCTTTTTCCAGGTAGAGGCAATATGGGGATCAGTGGCAATCAGGTTAGGAGTGGACCTCTATTCTTGCAGGGCTCCATCTCTAATCATATCCCACCAAATGAAAGTCCAAATGCTGGTCATATTGGAGACACCATTAATGGCAGGCCCATTACAGGAGCTGTCTTAGGCCTTAATCGTCTCAACCCTGGTGGATTAGAAATAGAGCAGGCATCATCTTCTGGTGTTTCTTCTGATGATGTTGGTACTTCATCTGGAAGTTCTGGTTGTATAGTAGAGGAGACAAATGGTGGTTCAGGATCTTCTCTGGGGGGTTGGGGCTTATCCTGCAAGAGAAAGGCCCTCGAAGGTACTTCTGGACAGTCTTTTCCTGGTGCAAGCTCAAGTTGCTTTCCACAAGCTGAAAACAGTGCATGGCATAATGGCCCCAATAATCATAGTGTTTCTAGCAGCTTAAGTTTATCCACTCCCACTTGGAATGCTCCTAGTGTTACTCCTCCTGAACAGTTGAACCCAAGATTTGGTTATGGAATGAGAGCAGCACCTTCTGATGCGTTTCCTTCATCAAATGTTAGTGGAAATGTGGACACTCTGAGAAATTTTGATAGGAGGACAAATCCAGGACTTCAACAGGAATCTGCCGCTTTCAATGTATCAACAACGGGAGGTTCCAGGCGATGGTCCTTGCAGCACCCTCCCAGATCTGTCTCAGTTAGTGACTATCTGGAGTCAAGGTCACCAGAACCTGCAAATTCAAATGCTACTCAGAGCCAGCTTCATGCCATCAACCCACCTGCTTTATCTAGAAGCATGCTTCGGTGGAATGATTTTTCAAGTTCAAGAGTTGGAAATTCACCAAGTTCCCTCATCCCTGGAGAGCCAGGTGCTGCATTAAGAGAAGAAACAAACTCAAGAAGATTTCAGAGAAATAACGCAGAGCATCCAATGTTTGCACCTGCAACTGAAATGAGAAGCGTGATACAAGATCCAGCTCGCTGGGGTTTGGCCACTGGGAACATGAGCACCCCAGGTAGTGTTTCTTCTACCAGAAGTGGCCCCAGTTCAAGTGTCCATCCGTTTCCCACTCCTCGATGGATTCATCGCAACCCTACAACACGCAATCTGCAAAGATTCTCAGAAGTTTCTACTTGGTCTCTTTTCCCACCAATGGACTCAGAATCTGGAGGTCATAGTGGTCATTTCTCCCCATTGTCTTCTGGTCCTTCTTCTGCACAGGACACAGTGATTTCTTCTGGATCTAATAGCCAGGGACATAATCCACTATTTCCAAGGTCAGCACTTCTCATGGAAGAACAAAGTGATGACATTCTTGGTATGCCCCGTTCATTGAGGGTTTTAGCTGCTGATATTGAAGGGAGACATCGGCTAATATCTGAGGTTTGTATTCATCTCTCCCTCCTTCCTTGTATTTCTATATATGTTCTGCCTTTTGTCTTTACTGCTTGTGTTATTGCTATAAAGGATATGTTCTTAGGAGTGGTATTTTCTCATTTAAACATGGAATGGTGGTAATGCTGACATTCTGAATGTAAGTGGCATTGAATTGTAGTCACTACGTTGCACAAGCCCAATTCTAAGTATTGCTATGAGCTGTCCTCATTTTCTATACTTAATGCAAATTATGGCTTTCAGAAATCCAAAACACATGATAGTATGTTTGTGATTTGCATGCCTGTTAGAATTGAATGCATGCTTGGTGCTTAAGTAACTTGTTTGATTGTGCTTGACCTCTGAATTATTGTGCCAAAGGATGTTTTGGTTTTCACACTTTGCTGCAGTCAATAGTTGCTAGCTGGTTTAAACTTTGTCCAAATCCCAGTTCCCAGGACTCGGAGTTTGTAACTGTAGTATCAGATGCTTTGCTTTTTAGCTAAATTTGTACTCTATGCTTGCATATTTATTAAAAATTTAATATTGTTATAACAACACTATCTAGTTATGGTATCTTTTTGGTTTGGGAAAGTGTGTTTATCGTTTTTGTAGCTAGATATTAACTGATGCTTGAAATAATAGCCTGTGTGCTTTTGTGTGTAACAGATTCGTCAAGTGTTGAATGCCATGCGCAGGGGTGAAAACCTTCGAGTTGAGGTTTGATTGATTCTTAAACTGATCTATATTTATTTATATCATTGTGGCTGTTATTTAATGTTGTAAACTTAGTGTGTTAGTAATACCGGTCCGTCTCTTTGGTTTCAAGTCAATGAACAGTGTCAAAAACAATCTTTTACACAAACTTGGAATCATTAATGGAACGGATAATAGTTTAAGAAATTTCAAGAACTCTCTACTTGATTAAAAACTTTACAATACTCGTTTATGTTTTACCAGCTGAAATATTGATAATATGTCAAAAGAATGATCAGTTCAGCAGATACTCTTTTTAGAAATTGCACGTACACTCTTTAGGTTTTCAAAATAAAAGAAGGAAAATAACGATAGAAAAGGTATATAGTTGAGGTCTTTGTTTTGTAATTTTGGCAAACACAATTTCTTGTCCTTGATGTCTGAAAGCATTTTTTTGGATGTGGTCCTATTTAAAGATTTTCTATTTTAGTCGAAGTTAGAGTATCACTTGTAAGTTGTATTCAAGTAAAATTGGAGACATAGAATATGTTGATCAATGACATAAGGCTCTAGAATTTCCTCATATCAGTGATTCCCTCTCATTCGGAACTGAAATTGTCTAAATAGGTTGGAGAATGGAATTTCTTGTAAAAAGAGCCAGGACCAAACTAAGTGTAATTGAAATTTTTTGGGGATGAAATTTATGGTTTCGCTTTTAATTTTTTCAACTCTATGATGTCCATAGGCCATTGACCGCTTCTTGACTTGTTGACTGCTTCTTAAGGACACCATCTAGCATATTACATTGCTAACATTTTATGGAAGAAAAGTGCTTATATTCTTTCAGTTCTAAGCTTCTTTTTTTATGAATGCCCCACTAGGAGTCGCACTATTTGCCGAGGGGAAAGCTTTGGCATTTGCCTTTTAGCACTGGCGATGATATTGTGTAACATTTGAACTTGAAATGGTATCTCAGGAATTTTGTTTTATTGGTATGGTAACCTCTCAGGATTATATGCTTTTTGACCCGTTGATCTATCATGGGATGGCTGAAATGCATGATCAGCATAGGGATATGCGCCTCGATGTTGATAACATGTCCTATGAGGTGAGATTGAGAAATTAATTCCCCTGATAGTCATTCTCCGAAGATTGTTTCCTTAATGAAAAGGTTGGAATATCAGGAATTGTTGGCATTGGAAGAACGCATAGGAGACGTGAGCACTGGACTAAGTGGGGAAACCATTTTGAAGTTAATGAAACAGCAAAAGCATGTGCCTGTTAGCACAGAATCTCCAGCAGATTTGGAGCCTTGTTGTATCTGTCAGGTATGAGCTACTTACTGTTGATAGATACGAATTAGGAGAAGAAACAGATGCTGCTTTTATCATTTCCGCAGGCCGTTCTACTGGTTTCTTAGTTTTGTTTTAACTATCATTATTCATAATGACAGGAAGAATATATGGATGGGGATGATATGGGAATAATCGATTGTGGACATGACTTTCATGCCAACTGCATCAAACAGTGGCTAATGCAGAAAAACCTGTGTCCCATTTGTAAGATGACGGCCCTAATCACTTGAGAGGGAAGATATTGTCAGGTCCTGGAAATTTTATTTTCTTAAAAACGGACAATCATATCCAAAAACTGGGTAGATGATATCCTATTTATACACCTCGTTTGGTTTAAACCCAT